CATGCATGTCACCTCGAAGCATACCGTCCGATGGGAGCTGGGGTGGGTGGGGTAGGGGTCAGGGCTTACCCCACGCGTTGCTGAAGCTTAAGTGTAGGCTCAGACTTAGTCCTACGTCTGCTCTATATAATATACCGGCGATATACTATACAGGTAGCTAAGGGGTTGAACAGCTTAAAAGGTAATGCAAGTGTGTACCCGGTATCTGTATATTTGTGTGTATGTGTGCGCACTTGCGGCATGTACTTGTACGTCTACTAGGCTTATGAAAGCACTTTTGCTTGGCGTTTCAAGACCTTTTTTCCTCCTCATTCAGACGTTTCATTTTTGCGTTAGTAATTAGATTGACCTACTTTTCTGTTTAATTTATCATAAGGAACCATACTTATACTATACTTCAGTTGGATGTTAAGTACAGGTAGGCCAACAGATAGTATCGATCAAGGAGGGACAACAGATAGAATTCCTTGTATCGATATACTGTCAGAGATACATGTAGTGACCCCTTTTTGCTACAGGTACAAGTACATTTACACACGGAATCTTTTGCCCGGCACTGCCTCTAATAGAACAGTACAGCGCTTTGCGAAAAGTTCTGTAGGAATACAACGAAACGAATAAGTCTAAATGTTATGATGGTTAATTTAAGCGAAGTAAAGGAAAATAATGAAAATAAAAAATGTTATGTGCTGCATATACCGTCACCATAAAAAACTGGAAAATTATAACACTTCACATTTTAAGATTTGTTTTCACAACTGGTTTTGAATTAGATGTTTTACAATGCGTTTAGTAGTAAAAGTGATGTTTTTTGATGTCGTGTTCTTCAAGCTTAAGGTCACCTTATCCTATCTAGTATATGGAGGTTTCCGCTACACTCTTCGTACGACGCTTACATTCAACTCTCTATCCACGCATTCCAAATGATTAACATGCCGCTAATGAAATAAGTTTTATTCAATAAACAGAAAATTTAATACATTTTTCAGATGACAAACCTCTTTCTGGAAAGGTTGCCGTGGTAACAGGTGCCTCTAGTGGCATTGGTGCTGCCATCTCTCGTCAACTGGCTGCTGCTGGTGCAAAGGTCGCCATGGCAGCAAGACGGGAGAACTTGTTAAAAGAAATCCAGGATGAAATTTTAAAGGAAGGGGGCGAAGCTCTAGCAGTGAAATGCGATGTTACGAACAGAGCTGAGGTAAAAAGGGTGTGGCATTGTGTATGAATGAGATGTCAATCGTGTTATGAATGTGGGGCAGAATCTTTTTGAAGTACGCTATGATTTGGGTTAGGCAATATCTATATAATTTCGAGAAATAAAACAAAGAAAAAGATAAGTTCGAGATAAGCCATAATTTTAGTGAAACACAGCGAGTTATATGCGGCGTCTACCGGTAGTATTCTTCAGGGTTGAAGCAACGTGTTTCTTAACATGGCAAAACTATACTTGTACATTGTACCTGAAAAGCAGAGATTCCTTAAAATGAAATTGCCCAAAGTATTCTTAAAATGGTTAAATTGTAATCTAAACACCAAACATTGAAAGAGTACAACGCTAAGTATCTACGCATAGGTGAAGGAGCTTATTCAGCACACAGAAAGCACCCTGGGTCCCGTGGATATCTTGGTGAATAACGCTGGTTACTGGGTGATAAGGTGTATGAAGAACCTTCACGAGGAGGAGTGGGATCAGCAAGTGGATGTGAACATCAAGGTAGAGCCACTTTGGTTTTCAAAGTTACCTGGTAAACAACCCCTATATTATCAAAATCCTGTACTGGGATAAGTTGTTTCGTACCATTTCAATTTAACCAGTTAGTTCTAAGCGAATTATTATTTATTCAGAGTACCATGCTTTTCATGAAGAAAACGCCAACATAAACTACTTTTATTTGACGGTTTTTCTAGTTTGAAGGTCTGAATTTGTAGACATGTATTTTTTAGGCCATTTAGACAAAAGATGTGTCGTTAGTGCATTTAAAATGTGTATAAACACCTTTAAGATATACCTTAAAGAATCTGTCAGAATCTTTTTCTACAGGGAGTGTTGAACTGCATCGGAGCTGTGATCTCAGGGATGTGTGAAAGAAAAAGTGGTCATATCGTCAACATGTCATCAGAAAATGGAAAGAAGGTAGGCCCTAATGGTTAATTGTCAGCTCTAGCTTCTGTATGAAAGCGTAAGACTCCGATTCAGTCAGATAGTTTGTTGATCTATCAGCTTTTGGAGTTTCAAAAATGGTAATTTTCATCATTTTGTAGCAAACTCGGCTCGCATTGACCTTTTTCGTTTAGTTAATCAGTTTGTTCTTACGTCATTCATTATGCAAATCAAACCATGTACAACTGTTCATTCAATAGCCTTTTTACTTCAAAAAGTGCAAGGAACCTTTTTCTCCAATGGATTATTCGAACAACAGTTACTTGTCACTTTTTTATATTTATAGTTCCACCGTGACCGCATTTCGTCGAAACAAATTTCATATACCGATATTTAGGCCAACGTACGCTACACTGAAGGCAATGTACATGTAGAGCTCTGATAACTTCATGAAATTTAACACGTATTACATATTTGGATCGGACATGCTGCAAACATTTTACTTAATTTAATTCTGTTTCAGTGCACATTAATTCATTGCATACATTACTATGGCATTCCAGGCTTTTGTAGGGTTTGCCGTGTACACAGGGTCGAAGTTCTTCGTAGAGGGGATGTCACGGACGCTCCGTAAGGAAGTTTGCAAGGATGGCGTTCGCGTTACTTGTATTCAGCCTGGTGATGTTGAAACGCCCGGTTACGCTCACAGTTTGATGACAATCGAAGATAAGCAGGTAACACATTTCACGACATAATGTCCACTGGATCTCTTATTGCCCATTTTAAATGAAAATCGATAATTGATCCGTGAGCGGGACATTGCTGATATGCTACATGTGTATAAATTTATCGTCAGATCAAATTAAGGTTATACGTAATTTGTTTTATTACTAGTGACTGTGATGTGTTTTTCCTCAGTGGTCAATATCTGGTACCATGCATATTCAGAGTGTAGGTTTTACAATATCAGGCCTTTTAAACAGTTTGGTCGTTTGGATTGCGAGTCGCGGATTTGAGATTGTGAACGCCAAGTAACGACTTATACTGCGATTTTATGGTGCGAACGTCAACGTACTCACTGCCAGCACAGCAATATTCATGAAATTGGGGTTTAAGTAGTTAATTTACAAAACTGTAGCTCGAAATCACTAACGGCAATTCTCGTATGTGAGGCCTAAATATGTAACTGGCATTTCGACTGGCATATGCTTCCGAGAAGGGTTTTTTTTTTTTTTTTCAGAATAAATGAAGCAAATTGTCTTTGAAATTAGCATTATAAACCCAGTGACTTGGAGCGTGAAAAATATATACTGTTATCATATCATTTCAGTGTAAACCGCTGTACACTTACCCTTTTCCTTATCCAATTATGGAACCTGAAGTTATCGCCCAGGCAGTCCTTTATGCAGTCACGCAGCCAGATCACGTGGCCGTCAACGAGATTCTCGTGCAGCCCAGGGAGAACCCGCTGTAGATCATATCACTTCTCAAGTGCATTCTCCCAGTGGTAACGGTACTAGACACTGCACAGCGCTTTTGAAATATTTGATTGAAAGACGTACAATAAACTTTCAAAACAGTTTTATTGCACACTGCTACTGTCATTATGACGTGATTTCAAATATCTGTACATATAACACTTCTGCGTGGGGCTCCTTTAGACAACATGCATGTATCTAGAAATAATCATTTTTACCTAAAAAAATAGTATTCTGTCTTGAAATATCAGATTACTACACATTTGCAGTTTGACATGAAATAAGTGAGGCTTTAATTACCAACCAATTACTGGTGTGAAAAGGAATTAGATGCGTTTAGGGTGTTTTTATTTTATTGCTTTAAATCCCAGTGAACAGAATTACAAGGAAACAGAACTGTGAATGAAGTATCCTCCTGTGAAAATCTAGTATTTGGAGTAAATAATTAAAATTTATTATCACCACCAAATCGTTATATATCGCTACTGTATTGCAAAAAATTATGTACTGTACATATACCTACTGATTTGCCCTTTTTCAGAAAAAAGTTGATTGCACTTCTTCTATTTGTGCATACTTACTTGAATTCTTTTTCCGTGAATGGATTCCTGGGCGACACGTAAGTCAACTCAGACGTTTATTTTTATGCATTTCATATTTTTGATTTTTAACAAATTCATTGCATTCGTATGTTGCTTGAGTTTACACCAGAGGAATCCTGAGACGTATATTATTTTTATATCGTTAAATAAAGCAATGAAGAGCTGAACCAATCGTTGAAAGCTTCATCGAAAGCTTGTGTTAGAACAAATTTACTTTATATATACAGCCAAAAATGCATGCTAAAGCTTTCATGAAAAACAATATAAAACCAGATGGAATTTTACAAACCAAGGTCAAGAAGACGATTACGAAGACAAGGTAAGATGATGAGCGGGACCAAAGACTGCAACCATGCTTTTACCGGCGGATGGCATCGATATACACAGCTAACACTTTGTGTTGTTTTAAAAAATGAAATAAATGTTTGATCGCGTTTTCATCGATTTCTCGCTGCTTTTCCCACGCAGAAGAGACCGATTTTAATTTTATAAGAAATTGAGGTTCCAGGAAACGGAGAATGCGCCTACTGTTAGATTCATATGGGTTAGAAACAACGTGCCTTAGGTGGGGCATAATCTAGGCTTGGGAGTTTCTGCACGATTCAATAAGAACCGGGGTCTCATACAGTACAGTGGACTCTTTAGTACGCGGCACCGGTCTGACTCCGACTGCAGCTGCACGGTGCAAGTGCAGAAAAGAAGTTACTTAAAGGTGGCTTAAATGGCTTAAACGGACCTCAAATGGCTTAAACGGATCATATTCCTCAGAAAACATGCCCAACTAATAATATCTTTCTCCAAATACACAATCTGAAAGCTTATTTTGTAAATTTTGGCCTTTAAAAAACGTCCTTTTTGAATCGGCCTGCGAGTTAATGAGCTATGTGGTCACTTGTTCCGGTGACGAGGCCACCGGAGGAGAGAGCCAAGCAGCGTGTTTAGCTGGCAGGCTGTGCTGTATTGTCTACCTGTAAGTTGACTTTCAGACTCCTGTTAACAGTTCATACTCATTAAAATCTCTTACCTGAGGTGTCTAAATCCTCTTGTAGCCGTGTGAAGACATTTTCCCGTCTATTCAATTCTTTAACTAGCAACTAGTATAAAATACTGCATTCGAATGACTTAAGGGTGCTTTTGATCATTCAATATGAGGTCCATGTTAAGCTTCTCTTACAACCCGACGTGCGTGCTTAGACATCGTGCGTCCTCTGAGTTCTTGTCAGACGTAGCGTTGTCGCAGGATGAAAATTAAATCGCAGCGGACGAAGTAGTAAGTACTTTATGAGTAGGTGTGTCGTGCTCTAAACGTGGGGCCCGCAAGTGGTCTGTACGCCTTTTTTTGGAGGTAGGAAGAAGTAAGGAGCGCGTACGATCTGTACTTGTGTCGCACAAAGTGAGTGAGATAATCATACGTGTATTGCAAGTGAAGCGTACGTTTTCAGAAATCGTACTTACGAAGTAAGAGAAACGTAAGAGAAACGTAATGAGCACGGAAGTGGAACGCACGAATAATCAAAATAATATAAAAGGGAGCACCGAGTCTCTTCATCATTCACTGTTTTGGCTTCCAAAATAGCACTTCCAAGAAGGATGCGCCATCGAATTCTACAGCTGCTAATGCTAGAGCAGGGCCGTAGCCTCCGGGGGGGCAGGGGGGCAGCTGCCCCCCCTGGGATTTGAGGTGCAAAAAAATAATCGCAAAGGTAAAAAAAATTGCAAAGTTGGTATCAATTCTGTGAGAAAATGCACTCATGGCCACTAGACAATCATTCAACAATCTGTTTACAAAGGAGTACTGTTTTTAGCCAACTCACTTCATGCCAAAAAGCTCACCCTCCCTAAGGGAGCTATCCCCCAGGCCAATTGGCGTGTTGTGTTGAAAAAATGACTGTACTTATGGCAAAATGAACCCACAATTTCTGACTTCTGATTGAGCAATAAATAACAGTTAAAATGCACCAGAATGCAGTATTATACATACAGTTTTTTTAAATTTTTCCACACTGTGGGAGGGGGTGTCGCCCCCTCGTGTCCGCTTACTGCCCCCCCTGGCATTTTGCTCAGGCTACGGCCCTGTAGAGGAGGCGAAAAGATCGTGACGCAATGCTGGCAGTGGTTGCTCGGGATCGCCTGCACTTTTATCGTGCTGGGCACGTGCGTCGTCTTAGTGTGACGCACTTCACAAGTATTATAGTACTACTCGCCACGCACTTTGGAAGTAAGATAAACTCACGGAGGAAGTGCGCTCACCCCCCTTTTTGTTAACACGTACATTGAAAGCAAGTTGAACGTACGAGTCTCTTGCGTGGTAAGTACGTCTTCGTGGTAAAATACCCCGGAATTTCTGCATGCTTTTCCTGCGTTACACGCACGCCTAGCGCACTTACTCAGTACTTTTGTCTTGCGTGCTACGAGCGTGCTCCAGGCGTTCTTATTGTCGTAGACAGTTCGTAGCGAAAAACTGGCCGGCCAGTTTTCGGGCTGCGTGCTTTGCGTCGTGTTTGCGTCCACCAAAAAAAGTACGTTCCACGTGCGTGTATCTTACTACTTGGCCAATTTTTTGCACGCAAACCGCTCGTAGAAGCACGCACGACCGGTTGTAAGAGTAGCTTTATTTGTGAAATTCGATTCAATTTAATGTATAAAACCCTTGCGGCTCAGAGTGAAATGACAACAATACAGCTAGAACTACTAGTAGTAATGATAAAAACTCATCAGACTGACGGTGATCTTAGCTCCGATGCACATTTTAAGTATTTTAATAAGTTGTTTAATTGTGAAATATTGTTAAGTGATAACAATTTAATTATCTTGAAAACACTTTGCTTTGTTCAATAAAATTTTTCACGTATTCCTGCCTAATCGTTCTGTAACAAAGACATTTTTAAATTATTGAAAGAATAAAATTAAATTCATCCTTGATATCATATAAAATAAATAAGTTTAAGACCCCATTTCCATAGACATCATCTACGTAGACCGTTCCGGTTATTCGAGGACTCTTGCCGAGTGCAATCAACTTTACTGAATGACACGACTCCCGTTTTTTCTAAACGCCATCGTATAATCACCTGCTTTTCTTAATTCTTCTCAACGCCAGGAGGATGCGTGTCATTCATTAAAGCTGATTGAATTCAGCAAGGTCCCCGCAAACTTGGATCGATGTACGTAGGCCGCTGGGAATGGAGAAAAAGTCAGCCCATCAAGAGTAAAATGAAACCCTTTCAAGCCGCTGTCAGTCGGCAAATTTCTTTCAACAACGGCTTTCCTCACCTGATAGTTAAGACAAAATTCACTAGGTTTCTTTTGTTTGCCAAGTTCCTGACCCATAATATTGTAAAATCATGCAGCGTCACACGAAGGCGTCTACGGGAATAGGAATAAATCAGCCCATCAAGAGTAAAATGAAACCCTTTCAAGCCGCAAAATCCTTTCAACAACGGCTTTTGTCATTTTTTATAGTAAAATTATTTGTTAACCTTTTCTAATCACCTTATTTGATCATGGTTCTTCCAATACTTCTGAATTTAGTACATTTCATCACTTTTTTATTAAACATAAATGTATTGAAAATAAATTTGGATATTAATTTCAATTCAATACGTGCATGTATGTGTAAATACAAGTACTGTAGTAAATTACATGTGTATCGTAGAGTGAGAATTTAGTTACAAACTGAAAGCGATGTGATTGTTTTGTGAAACCCACTTCAAAATGGTAGACTCATACGTCGGAGCTACTTCACATAATTTTTCGCAAATTCGTAAGACAAAACCTAAATGGCAAGAGGGCAAATTACCCTCAACAGGAACACCAACTGAATCAGCGAAAACAAGCCTGAGAAACTAGATTGAAATGTACCTATGTGGGTAAAATATACGAAAAATAAAAAAGGTCCAAAACCAATGAAACTAATATGTTTCTTTAGTTTACCTTCCATACTGCTTATTAATACGGGAGTAATTCGTTGTCGACAATCCCCAGCACGCACGGAAACTGCCGAACGGATTTAAGGTTTGTAGGTTGAAGCATATTGCTCGTAATTTCACATTTGCACCATGAAATCGTGGTTTGAGCCATAAATTTGGGGCTTCGTGCTCATAAATCTAAAGTTTGAGTTCGAAAACGCACAATTCGTTATAAAGTCTGATATTACCTGAGTGCTCTTAGTAGGGTACTATGGACAAAACGCTTTCACGGAGGTCTTAGAAGATGTGTGTTAAGACCCCATTCCCATAGATTTTAGATCGATCTATCTCTGTGGGGAGTCTAACTAGTTTACTGTCAGCTTAGCCGGCTTAAGCGTCTGTCCCGCCTACTAAAAGCTGTAAGGGGGTAATTAACTATACTTAATTAACGCTCGGCTGACTACAATTTAGCGTGAACCCCCAGGGAGTTAGGTCGATCTAAATCTAAAGCTCTGGATCGTTCTAAAGCACTGGGAATGCACCCTTATCATTGACCTTGTCTTTACGATAAAGTTTCATATAAAGCGAGCGTGTCCAAGGCTTAAATAAAGTAGACATGCCAAGTACTACTCAAAATAAACCCCTCGTTCTGCCAAAAAATAGCTTTAAAACTGTACCTTCATCACATTTCTGGTCGAAAATTGACCAATTTACCTGTTCATCGAGGTTGGCGGATATTACAGGCACATTTTCCACAGTTCCAGTTAGGGGATGCAAATGTAATTGCGCGCGCAACAGCATACTTGTTCAAACGAATTACCGAAAAAGACAAAATATTTATTATAGCACAGAAAGAAAGCAGAATACTGTATATACTGCCTGATGTAATGTGAAGTCCAGTACCTTAGAGAGATCTAGTTTGCAGAACCACTTGTCTTGGCACTTGCTCCAACCAAGGTGCAGTTGTACGAGTCCCTTGAATATGACGACCGATACAAAGAGTATATAATCCCCAAATAGGTTTCTTGTTGCTAACACTTCTTTCTGACTAGATACCAAGCACTTAAAAAGTGGTATGATCTACAGCGGGGCCTCCCTGGGCTGAACAAGAATCTCGTTGACGGCCACGTGATCTGGCTGCGCGACTGCGTAGAGGACAGCCTGGGCGATGACTTGATATCCCAGAACTGGGTAAGAGCGAGGGTAAGTGAACAGCGGTTTACACTGAAATGACAATAATAT